GAACGAACGGCGGCAAGGAAGAACCAGACGGAGAACCACGGCGTTAAAAGGTATTCTAATATCTTTGGCAGAACTAATTAATCATATATTGATTATTTTGGAATAAAGATTTTACATGCAATTAATATATTAATTATTTATTGACTTTTGTATTCTTGGTTTCAAATTAAAATCTATGAATTAAAAAATTAAAAAGAAGGCCAAAGACGCATCAAAAATGGCAGCATAAAATTCATAGCATATTGGTATTCATAGCATAAGGTAAGTAAAGAAAAAGTGAAGATTCAGATATATGTAAATTACGAAAAAAAAATTTTTTAAACTTCAAAAAAATGGTAGCAGTAAAAAAACGCTAAAAAATTAAACATAGAAACAGCAAATAAATGATAAATATGGAAACAATTCTAATAAAATATATAACATTCATACAAAGTGAAATAGGACAAATATTTCGATCACGTAATGTAAAATAGGAAAAAAATAACAAATTAAAAGAGAAATTAAAAGAGAATACTTTCAAAAACTGTTAAAATACTAGGAAAAGTTTTTCGATCGACCTCCAATTACATTATAATCACCTAATACAAAATCGAATTTTTGGGCAAAAGTTTCGTTCTATTGTGCGAGAACTCGGAAATTTCCAAGAATTTGACGTCATTTTCAAGAATTTCAGAGATTCCGAGAATTTGACGTCATTTCCAAGAATTTTAAAAATTCTGAGAATTTGACGTCATTTCTTGGAAAAATTTTTCGATCGACCTCTTATCATATCATGTTCTCCTAATACAAAATCGAATTTTTGGCCAAAAGTTTTGCTCGTTCGAATATTTGGAAATTTCCAAGAATTTGACGTCATTTCCAAGAATTTCAGAAATTCCGAGAATTCGACATCATTTTCAAGAATTTTAGAAATTCTGAGAATTTGACATCATTTCTTGGAAAAATTTTTCGATCGACCTCCTATCGTATCATGTTCTCCTAATACAAAATCGAATTTTTGGCCAAAAGTTTCGCTCGTCCGAATATTTGGAAATTTCCAAGAATTTGACGTCATTTCCAAGAATTTTAGAGATTCCGAGAATTTGATGTCATTTCCAAGAATTTTAGAGATTCCGAGAATTTGACGTCATTTCTTGGAAAAATTTTTCGATCGACCTCCTATCGTATCATGTTCTCCTAATACAAAGTCGACTTTTTGGACAAAAATTTTTCTATCGCTCAGGGAATTTCGATCTTATTCTTCTTTCTTCTCGGATATCTCGTTTATTATTCAAAATATTAAAAAATGCTTCGAATAAAAGTTGAATGGCTTCGAAAAGACTATATTCTGATGACGTAAGTTTTTTCGTAGGTGGACTCATAAAAAAGTTATCAACGTCAATTTCATTTCTTTAAATACAATGATACAATTTTTAATGCATCAATTGATGTATCGCTGTATTCTCTAGAAAAAAGGTTTAAGCCATATATAATAAAAAACCATTAGTTTAAGAGATATTTAAAGAAATTTAATTATCTTCTAAACTATACGTTTTTCCCTACGTACGCCCTAGTATTTTTTTACAGAGAGTGCCAAGATACATCTACTGGAGTATTGAAAAGTGTATGCTACTATTTAAAGAAACAACATTCACGTTTATAAATCCTCTACGCTTCTATGTATAAAAAAATAGACAACAAAAGGACGTTCCCCATTCCAAATCATTCAACTTTTGTCTGAAACATTTTTTAGTATTTCCAAAAGCAAGCGTGGTACATCAACCAAAACTATTCGAACATCCGCTGTAATATATTATGCAATCGGTTATTAAAAACAATCGAGACATTGCGAATAATAAGAATAAAGTGCTCAAAATATCCTTGAATGCTTAAAAAGTTAAAGAAAATGATAAAAGTCGCATCAAAAATGGCAGAAGGTAAGTGCACGAGCAGTAGATATTTAAATTTATGTATTAATTGGGAAAAACAATGCTCTAAACCTCCAAAAAAATGGATACGATAACAGGAATGGTAAAAAAGTAAGTAGGAGAACAGTATGTATATGATAAATGTGAAAAAGCTCCTTTTGAATTATGTTCTCCTAATAGAAAATCGAATTTTTGATCAAAAGTTTCGTTCTATTGTTCGAGCATTCGGAAATTTCCAAGAATTTTAGGGATTCCGAGAATTCGACGTCATTTCTTGGAAAAATTTTTCGATCGACCTCCTATCGTATCATGTTCTCCTAATACAAAGTCGACTTTTTGGGCAAAAGTTTTGTTCCTCCGACCATTCGGAAATTTCCAAGAACTTGACGTCAGTTCCAAGAATTTTAGAGATTCCGAGAATTTGACGTCATTTCCAAGAATTTTAGAAATTCCGAGAATTTGACGTCATTTCTTGGAAAAATTTTTCGATCGACCTCCTATCGTATCATGTTCTCCTAATACAAAGTCGACTTTTTGGACAAAAATTTTTCTATCGCTCAGGGAATTTCGATCTTATTCTTTCTTCTCAGATATCTCGTTTATTATTCAAAATATTAAAAAATGCTTCGAATAAAAGTTGAATGGCTTCGAAAGGACTATATCCTGATGGCCTCAGTTTTTTCGTAGGTGGACTCATAAAAAAATTATCAACGTCAATTTCATTTCTTTAAATGCAATGGTACAATTTTTAATGCATCAATCGATGTATCGCGATATTCTCTAGAAAAAAGTTTTAAGCCATATATAATAAAAAATCATTAGTTTAAGAGATATTTAAAGAAATTTAATTATCTTGTAAACTATACGTTTTTCCCTATGTACGCCCTAGTACTTTTTTACAGAGAGTGCCAAGATACATCTACTGGAGTATTGAAAAGTGTATGCTTCTATTTAAAAAAAAAAATTCACGTTTAAAAATCCTCTACGTTTCTGTATTTAAGAAAGTAAATAGCAAACGGATATACCTCTTATGAAACCATTCAATCTTTTTTTGAAATATTTTTAATATTTCCAAAAACAAGTGTGTTACAGCAGGTAATACTATTCGAATACTCATTGCATATTATACTGATTGCATATTATATTATACAATCAGTTATTAGAAACAATCGAGATATTCCACATAATAAGGATACTTGGATTTTTAAAAAAATTTAAAAAATGATAAAGAACATACTGAAAATATAAATGGATCGGAGAAACGAACGTGATGATCCTAATCCCCACGCGCTTGCGATTGGACCCCGCGAGAACCAATCCTTGGAACTCGCCCTCCAACGCCACGATTGATCCCTTGAACCTCCTCTCAGTATCCATTTTTCTCCAAGTGCAAGCATTGGAAGAAAAACCAAGTCTAGCCAAAGATCTTGCATTTGAGTTAGAATAAAAATAGGAAACTTGGAAATTTTTAGTATTTTGAAATTATTTCCCTAATTTCTGCAAATTCCAAGAAATTGAGTTCATTTCCAAAAATTATCAAAAATATTCTTTTCGATTTAGATAAAAGAAGTAATAATTAATACCAAAATGCCAAAATGAGTATTCCAAAATGAGAAGGTATTGTATTAATAATATGATAAATATCTAAATAGTAATTGTTTCTAATATTTTGTATTTTTAACAAATTTTCAGTGCCAGAAAGGACATTAGCTATAAAAAAACGGAAGTAAATGAATAATAAATAGAGGTAAGTATTTCTAGAGTTAAAAAATTGTTGAAAAATAATTAATCGCTGAAAACAATAGTTCCAAAAAGGTATGTATAAGAAATATACTCCTTTTATCCTTATTTCTCCATCCTGTATATTCCTGTCTTCCTATACTCCTATTATCTATATTTTTCCATCCTGAATTTTCCTGTGTTCCTATATTCCTATTATTCATATTTTTTAATCCTGTATATTCCTATGTTCCTATGCTTTTATTATTCATATTCCTTAATTCTGAATCATCCTATGTTCCTATGCTCCTATTATCCATATTCCTTTATCCTGTATATTCCTTTGTTCCGATATTCCTTAACCCTTTAGAATTAAGTAAACTGTTGAAAAACTTAATTAAGTAGCTGTAAAAAGGTAAGTAATAAAAGGTAAGTAATAAAAGGTAAGTAAAGGTAAGTATTTTACAAATAATTTTTAAAATTTTCGAAAATTTTTGTAAATAAACATTGGAAATGTAAATAAACAAACCGAGAATGTAAATAAACATTGAAAATGTAAATAAACAAACCAATGTTTATAAACAAACCAAAAATTTATGTAAATAAACATTGGCAACGTAAATAAACAAACCGAGAATGTAAATAAACATTGAAAATGTAAATAAACAGACCAATGTTTGTAAACGAACCAAAATTTTGACGCCAGAGCTTTAAATTTTCGAAAATTTATGTAAATAAACATTGGAAACGTAAATAAACAAACCGAGAATGTAAATAAACATTTAAAATGTAAATAAACAGACCAATGTTTATAAACGAACCAAAATTTTGACGCCAAAGCTTTAAATTTTCGAAAATTTTTGTAAATAAACATTGGAAATGTAAATAAACAAACCGAGAATGTAAATAAACATTGAAAATGTAAATAAATAGACCAATGTTTGTAAAGAAACTTTTTAACAATAAAATACATTTCAAAAAGGAAATTATACTTACCTTATACTTACCTTTCATATACTTACCCTCCAAATTTTTTATGTTTTCAATAATCATTTTTTAACATTTTACTTAAATCTAAAGGACTGGAAGGAATATAGGTTTGGAAATGTTTTTTAAATAAAAAACTCATTTATTGAAAAATTACGTTTATTGAATATAATTTATAAATGATGTGACATATTTTTTTAATTAACAATTGATTTAATTACATTTTGGCTTACTTATAATATAATATAATATATACTTAAATATATACTTAAATATATACTTACTTTTTTATATTTAATACTTCTATACCTAATTTACTTAAATCTAAAAGATTGAAAGGAATATAGGTTTAGGAATAAATGTTTTTTAAATAAAAAAACTCATTTATTTATTGAAAAATAACATTTATTGAATATAATTTACAATTTTACAAAAGTTACATATTTTCTAATTAACAATTAATTCAATTATATTTGGGCTTGAATATAGTTATAGTATTCTTCATAATATTAAAAAGTGCTCCGAATAAAAGTCGAAAGGATTACATTCTGGTGCCTTCGTAGGTGAACTCATAAAAAACTTAGACTCAACTTTATTTTTTTTAAATATAATCATATTCTGTAATGCATCAGTCAATATATTGTGGAATTATCTGAAAAAAAAAAAAGAATTTGATTATATATGTCAAAAAAATTATTAGGAGATAATTAAATATAATTGAATATTTGTTAAATTAATAAATTATATGTAGTTATAAATTATACATAGTTTGATAGGTTTTTATAGAGAATAATAATTTTGTTTTTACTTATGCATTGAAAAATATATAATTCTTATTTATTTAAATACTTACTCTTATTTAAAAATTTAAATAAGAATAATTAAATTAATTATTCTTTTTCAATTTTTATTCAATTGAATTTTTTAGAATTAAAATTTTCATTAAACCTTATCTTTTTTAACATGTAATTTAATTAATTGAATATGCATATATAATAGCATCATGTTTATGTATGAAATAATAAATTTGTATTGCTTTACTTTTGAAATATCGTGAAAGTTTATAATAAATCTATTTATATATATTTATACAGACATTAAAAATTTTTAAAATATTATAAATATTATAAATATTCGAACGAACGAAATCTCTTTTATAATCTAGTGAAACATAATATTGCTATTAGAAATTTATTATTATTATATAGAATTCACGTTTACTAATATTTATGAGATTAATTGCTCGATTAGTTAGATAAAAATTTTTTTAAAATTCTAGATTCAGTTTAGAAAATGGAAATAAAACTAGTTTGGATGTAAATGTATTGAAAGATACATTTTATTGACTATAGTGTTCTTGTGAAAGATTTCTTTCTTAGTTGAAATCTGTTTTAATACCTTAATACATTTTTTATGTTTTCAAATCTAAGAAAACACTATAATATATCTTTTAAATTTATTTGGATCTTTTTCTTTGAATTTTTTAATCCATTACCTATGTCCTAAATAAAATGTAAAATAGACATAAATGAAATCACAAAATATTTCTAAGTAATTCATTATATGAAATGATTTGAAATTCAGCAGCTTTTAAAAATTTTAAATTTAAAAAATACTTACTGTTAATAAAATTATCAAACATAGAGATATTGTAAAAAAAAAATTATGATTTCTTAATATTGAAAAAATTTCTTGTAAATATCGAATCTCATTGATCTTTCGCAATCGAATAATTTTCGATTTATTTTTCAATTCTTAAATATTCATCCAGTATGCATAATATCTATATTTATTAAAATCAAGAGATTAAGAAAAAAGAATAAAAGAATACGCGAACAAATGAATGATATGCTACAGCAGCAATATTGTAGTATGAAAAATTTGCATAATCACTCGATGTCATCGATATGGATTTGCATATACAATTCGTTGTCAAACCAGTTAAAGGTGTGCAAAATATGCGATCAACCATCTTTAATGTAATTCGATTCCATCCTCTTCCTTCTTTTTTTTTTTTTTTTTTTTTATTCTTTCAAGAGTATCATTGATCTTTTGCGACGTATGAAGATATCATTCCATATTGATGTTGTTTTAATAAAATGTAGGAATGCAGAGAAAAAATGGTATGCAGTTACATTACGATAGCTTAAAAATGATAGTCACTTTTTTTCCACAATTTTTACAAATTATAAGTTTCATTATTTATTCCATTTTTCCTATTGATCTTCTCATTTAACTAAATAATAAATTATCCAATTAAAAGCGTGATAAATATATATTTATAAATACAAATCAAATTCAATAAAAAACAATTTCATAAGAGTTTAGTATATACTATGTATAAGATGTAATAATCTACTCCAATATTTCCAAAATGCTTGATTCTTGTAGACTGATTTCAATCTGAGAATACTTACAAATTTTAAAAATCTACGTATAAATATTTAATCAAAATAAAAACCTTTCATTAACGATTAAATTAAATTATTTCTTTTCAAAAATCGAGGTTATTTTTAAAAGAAAATAATTATTTAACGTTAATTTTTGCGTTTTGAATTTTCCAAAGATTTTTTCATTTAAAAAATTTTTAAGTTTTTATACTGGATTAAAAAAATATAATAAATTTAATTATATTATTACCAGCAACTGTTCAAGCATTCCCTTATTCAATTTTCAACAATATTCTCTTCAATAAATTCTTCATTTTACTATTCTAATTTAATAAATTAATAAATTAATAAATTTAATTTTATTTCAAAACTTAGATACACTAAATGGACTTTTAAAATATTATTACCAATTATTAAACACTACTTACATCACATCAGCGTTAAACTCATTCGGTACCCTGTAGAGACTTCAACGCCCGCACAGACGAGCTCGCACCTCCGAGCTCTCTGAGGAGATCGAATCTGGATCAAAGTTGCGCTGAACGAACCCATCAAAGGCGAGGATCGTCGACACAATCACGATAGCACCGATTACCCACTCCCCCGATCATGGAATAATCCTCGTTCCACGCGTGCGCGTCCGACAGTGGCGCGACGCTTGAAAACATCGAGACACGATCTACTTACCTCCGGTAGCCGCTCGATCGGAAAGCAATGAGCGGCAAAATGCATCGATCTACCCACGATCGTCTCGTATATCCGCTGTCCAATCACCGCCGCCACGTACAAAAGGTGCACAACCGGCCTGCGAACGTGTCCGTCTTACGAACGATCCAACGCGCCCGCGTGCACGCTCTATCACTCGCCTCGTGTAGGTGTCTGAAGCGGTGTGCAACGTGTGTAGAGGCGCGCGAGCGGTGCATGCCGCAATACGCGATGCACAAGCTTCATTAATGAGTCATCGAGTCGACGCGTTTGCCAGATACACGAGCCACTATCGAGCGGCTCGGCTTGCGCCCCGCGGCGAGGAAGGTGAAGTACACGCGAAGCCGAGATGGCCGTGATAGGGCGGCTGGAGCAGTCGAATTCGCGGAAGTGCGGTGAACTTCGTGTGAATTCATGGTTATGGAGTAACGGGTCTCTCGTGCATTGATACCCAACGATTGCCTTTATGTTGCAACATTTAATGGGATGCATTCGGGAACGCGAAAAGAGAAAATGTAATTGGCTTGGCATCCCATGATGTGGAATCAGGAGATTTTTTTTCAGATTTGAATGGATATTAAGGTTGTTAATGGTGTTATCTTTAATGATTTGATGGAAAGAAGACTTTTCATACAAGGATTTTTCATGTGTAATGATTCGTCTAAGTGATTTAAAATATTAATTTATGGATTTTGGAGAAAATAGTTATCGATATCTTAAAATATATCTCGATTGTTTTCGATATAAATATTCATCTTACTGTGAAATTAAAGATATAGTTTCTTCCAGTCGTTATTTCCAAATCGCTGTAATCAAAGAGCTGCATGAAAATAATGTATTAATGTTACGTTAAAAGATTAATTGTCTTCTCGATGATTAAAATATCATCTATAAAAATTGTACGAAAAAATTTTAAAAAATTTTAATTACTCTATATTCAATTGGATATAGAATATTTTATTGTGTTGAAAGGGGAGGATCGTGAGAAGAGAATCTCTGAAAACAAGCTTGGAGATCTTTTCAAAACGATCATCTTGCTGAATAACTTTCCCCGGTAATTATCATGCATACGTGCCTGTACTTTATAAGATCTTCGTTCCTTAAGCATCCGCAGCTTTCCACCGAGTTTCGCCCCCATTCCCTCGCGTTTGTTACGGTGCCGCGCTGAGACCTTAACGAATAGTCGTACGTCAGCGTATTATTATATAGCGCTTTAAATGGTAGCGATAAATTATGGCCGCTACACCGAGCGTTAACCGCAATTCGCCTTTTTGGCCACAAGGAAAAGATCCGGACTTCTCTGTGTCCCTGTGTCCCATCAAACTTCCTTTTCAAGAATCTGTTCCGATTATTAAAATTCGTTCCTGTAAATAAATTTCTGGAAAGTTGCATTTCTCTGAATATTAATTCGTTATAATAATTTTTAAATAAATTCTGTATATTATTTACATTGAAGTATTTTTTATTTGAAATTTAGATATAAATGACAATAATTATATAAAGATTATTATGGAAATTTATATTTAATTTTTTGATATTTTATTTTTATTTTTATTTCTTTTTCGAGATTTTTTTTAATTTTTTCTAATCTATTCTAATTATTATGAATTTATTTCTGTAATGGAAAGTTTTGTTTAAATTTATCATGTAAATTATTATTTGTATTGAGTGAAGTTATTATTTATATTTTAAATGAAATATTTAGATGAATAATTATGGAAACATTTAAACATTTATACGATGTGAAATTTTCACTCTTCTTTAGAAAGAAGAAAATGAAATGAAAAGAAGAAAATTTCTTTTCTTTTCTTTTCAAAAGTTTTAAATTAATATATTATTTATGTTGAAATAAATTATAAATTTCTTTAAATTTATAACGACAATGATTATAGAAGCGTTTATATTTATTTGCATTAGTTTCTTATTTAGAAACATCTACTTTCTTCGAATCTGTATATTACTTGTATCAAGAGAAATATAAATTTTTGTATGCTTATATGCAAATATTAATATTTACAGAGACACTTTTTTATAAAATAATCAATGTTACCTCCTGTTTTATAGATATTTATCTATGAATATTTATTATATTGTTAATATTGTGAATCATACTCTATCAAAATATTTTATACTAAATTAAATAAATAAGACACCATCATTTTTTGTATTTTTTTTTTTTTACGAGTGATTCGATTGATGATCAAATCAAAGTTATTTTTGCTTAACATCATCGCAGATGGAATCTGAAATTGGGACGAAGAGGAGCACGAAATCGTAAAAACTCCACCTGTTTTTTATCCTTATCTTTACGATCTATCGGGAACATCCAATGGAAAAAATGTAGTCGAGTATGTTCCCTCGAATCGTAAAAATCGTGAAAAGAAAAACACGTTTCGGCCATTGTAGGATCATTCGAGTTTCGATCGTGCCAGAACCGTCAATTTTTTTTATTTTTTCCAATATAAAATAAATCAAAAATAAAAATAAATGAACAAATAAAAATTATCCAAATAATAAAAACTATGCATATATATATAATTCTCGTAATAAAAGGATTATCCTAGAAGAGAATCACTAGTTATCCAACAAGCGTAAAAAGCATTTATCTCTTCTCGCCCATCTCACAAAGTTCGCCAAATCATCCTCCAATGCTCGATTAATTAAAATCATAAACCGTGAAAACCCCGGCCAACAGAGAAATCTACGCTATTAACTAACGAAGATCATAATTTCTCGGCAATCATCGCCAAGGAACGCGGCGGATAATTTATCTCTTCCGTGTTATCGCGAAACCTTACCAAACCCGCGTGGCCCAAATTCATTCAGAGTGCACGTATGCCAAACTGAAAAAAAAAAAAAAATGAAGAAAAAAATAAGAAAAAATAAAAGAAAAATAAAAAGCGTCAGATATCTAAAGAGCAATCCCCGGATGCTTATCAACGAGCCCATCGGAGAAGACTCGAACGATGAAAAGTCAGTGTCCTTACCCGGCAGCGAAAGAGAAAGCAGAAGAGGTTTCCGGCTCGTGGCACGCCGGATCATTACACGGAATCAGTCCTCTCAGATTGTATCGCCGGTATACAAAGTATATTTCGATGTATCCCAACGAGGTTACAGAATCGGGAAGCTTGAGATCCCGATTGGATATTGGATGCACACGGTGGTCCATATAGGGAGTAGCGTGGCGAAGGTGGCTTACGAAAAAATGCGTATGCAAATTAATAAGCCACGATCGAAACGGTGCCGCGACACCTTCGAGAGGATTTTCTCGTTGGATCCTCGCAGGTAGATCCCTCATCTGCAATGCCGCTACTCGCGACTTCCTGTTCGGCGCACCAACGCCACCCACACGCTCGAGAGCTCGATATATATGTATATGCGCAATTTTGTAATTGGAAGGCTTGTTTATGGAGGAAATCGTAAAGTTGCGAAAGAAGAGTTGACTCGAGAAGTGGAGACTTTCTGGGGGAGAGATTTTTGTGATGCGTGGCCGTGGGGAATACTGCCACGGGGAAAATGGTGAGTTTGGAATGTTGATTGAGATTTTTTTCTCCTCTCTGGTGATAGGGTGTTGAATTATTCGCGATTGTTTGGTAAATTGTGCAATCGTGATTAATTTGCTTATGTTCGAAAGGAAAATTGAATATGATTTGTAGCGTCATAAATTTTAATTGCATTTTTTTTTTAGTCGACTAGATCAAATTATGTATTTAATGAAAGTTGTTATTTTAATCTCACGCGTCATAATGAAAATGAGAGGGAATGGGATGAATCATTTATATAATATATTTTTTATAATCTAATATAATTTCTACGTATACGATGATATAAGGCTACCAAAAGAAATTGTTCGGATAAGATAAAATTAAATCAATAAATTTAGACTGATTATATTTATAATTCGAGAGTTAATACTTCGTGTTCCATATTAACCCAACAAAAATTCCCATTTTCTAAAAAGCTGGGCAGCACACTAATTCTACACATTATTTATCTATTCAAATGAAACCACTTAAAGCAACTTCCATATAAAGGAAGATAGAATCCTCCCTATGCTGATTTGAATAAATCTGAATACCATTACGTGCTCCACGGAACAACGGCAAATCAATTGTAATTGTTAATAATCGTAATACAGGCGCCGTGTCTCGGATGCGTTTCTACCTCTTCGTGCAACGTGCGCCTCTTTATAACCCCCTTTCTCCCTTGTACATCCACCGGCGAGCTCGGTCGTCGTGATCTGGTTACATTGCTACCCGTTATGTCGCCAGTTCGAGCTACATTCTTATCCGCTCCCCTCGTTCTCTGAATCTGTGCACGCTCTCACCCACCGTCTCTCCTCTTTTCTCTTTTTCGTGCTCGAATCGCGTGCAACCCTCTCGTTCTTGCCCTCACGACACGAGATACAGCCATGGGTACTCGGTACGTACATCACTCTGACTGAGCTTCCTCTTCCGCCTCTTTCTCTCTCTTTCCTTTCTGAACTACGGATCGCTGATTTCTCTGCATGAAATTACGTTTTGATCCTTCGAGCCTTTGTGAAGAATACGCGGAGAGAAGTTTTCATGATTGCTGATCATATTTTATGCCAAGTTTCTTGACTTATTAATGTATTATTGAATATTTGGCAATTTTTGTACATGTTTCGATTTTTTATAACAAATTTTGTGTAACAAATTTTCTTAATTGAAATCAAAATAATTCTCAAGAAAATTAAAACATCAGAATAATTTCTCAGAGTTTTCGATATAAATGATGATACGATATGAATTTTTTTTAAACGAAGAATCAGAGAAATTGCAGATTTTTACGAAGGATCGTGTTCCACCTTTGTGTAACGATCCTTTATACCACGAATCGTAAAAAATTAGTACCAAGATCTCGAAACAAAACACACGATCGAGGCAAGTTGATCGATAAAGGATCTGGTGACGTTTGATTCCCAGTAAACCTGGAGTGCCGCCATTAAGTGCAGGCGGAAGTTTCTTGCCGATTTTTTGTCGGTTCGCGCGCGTCACAGCAAGAGGAGGCTTAGCGAAGCGGGATCAAAGCGCGCGG